ACCCTAAGCCCTAAACCCTTTTCTCTAAACCCTCATCCCTTATACCCTAAAACCCTATAGACCCCAAGCCCTAAAACCCTAAACCCTAAACCCTAAACCCAAAGCCCTAAACCCTAAACCCTAAAACCCAAAGGCCTTAGCCCTAAAGCCGCTAGGTTGAAAGCCCTAAAACTCTAACCCATTTCTCTAAACCCTCATCCCTTATACCCCTAAGCCCTAAGCTCCATAAGCCCTAAACCCTAAACCCTAAACCCAAAGCCCTAAACCCTAAACCCTAAACCCTAAACCCTAAACCCTAAACCCTAAGCCCTAAACCCTAAACCGCTAAGTTGAAAGAACCTCAGGGAGCCTCGGGTCCCCCAGTGCCGCCATCGCCTGCCCCAGAGGTTGAGGGTTTTAGTTTAGGGTTTAGGGTTTAGGGTTTAGGGTTTAGGGTTTAGGGTTTAGGGTTTAGGGTTTAGGGTTTAGGGTTTAGGGTTTAGGGTTGAGGGTTTTAGGTTGTTTTAGGGGCTGCTAGGGGTTTTTAGGGGCTTTAGGGCTTAGGGGTTAAGAGTTTTAGGGGCTGTTAGGGGTTTTAGGGCTTTAGGGCTTAGGGGGTTAAGAGTTTTAGGGGCTGTTGGGGGTTTTAGGGCTTTAGGGCTTAGGGGGTTAAGAGTTTTAGGGCTTCTTCGGTTTTTGAGGGTTTTGGGGCTTTAGGGGTTAGGGTTTTAGGGTTTTTTTGGGCTGTAGGATGTTTTAGGGCTTTAGGGTTTAAGGTGTTTGGGTTTTAGGGAGTTGGAAGTTTTGGGGTTTTAGGGTTTGGGGGTTTTGGGGATAAGGTTTTAGGGTCCACCTGGGCCCTAAGCAACCTTCCTTGTTGTAGGGCTGCTTTTGATGACATCCTTAGATTAATCCTGCAAAAAGGTAGGTTATTCGGGGTTCAGGTACAGCCTACACCCTAAACCCCAAACCCTAAACCCCTAGGGTACAGCGTTTAGGTTGAAGGGGTTCAGGGTCTAGGGCCTACAGGTTCGGGCTAGGGTTTAGGGCTGAGTTTCCCGTCTTGGGGCTAAGCTTCTGGATGTGTCCTTGGGCTTGAAGAGCTCAGGGCTCAGGGTTTAGGGCTTAGGGTTCTGCTTTAAGGGTTTAGGATGTAGGGTGATGCCTTAGAGGTTTAGCATTTAGGGCTTTAGGGTTCTGCTGTAAGAATTTAGGGTTCTGCTTTAACGGATTAGGGTTTGGGTTCGGCTTTAAGGGTTTAGGGATTAGGGCTTTAGGGTTCTGTTTTAAGGATTTAGGGCCTAGGGTTCTGCTTTAAGGATTTAGGGTTTAGGGCTTAGGGTTCTGTTCTAAGGGTTTAGAGTTTAGGGCTTTAGGGTTCTGCTTTAAGGGATTAGAGTTAAGGTTCTGCTTTAAGGGTCGAGGAGCTCAGGGCTTAGGGTTCTGCTTTCAGGGTTGAGCTTTTGGGGCTGAGGATTTGGAGGTTGAGGGCTTGAGAGTGTAGCAGTGTAGCAGTTTAGCATTCAGGGGTTCAGGGTTTAGGGTTTAAAGTTCAGGGTTTACGGCTTTAGGGGTTCGGGGCTTGGGGTGCTGTCCTTTAAGGAAAAGAGACGGGAGGTTTTGGCCCTAGATACGCACCCCTATGGCAAGTGCCATAATTAACCGGTCCGACCGTTCCTTCCATTACCCCGGCTTAGGGTCTATAGGGCCTATAGGGTGCAACAGGTATCAAGCATCCATCAGCAAGGCTTGAATTTCTGCCAGACTGCTTTTTTCCAAGACCAGTTTCTGGAGCCAGGCGAAATTCTCCTGCCACTCGCGGGAGTTCATGATCGACGGGATCACGCCGCGCTTATCCTCAAGAAGGATGGCCTCGGATGTCTCGAAGGCTGTCTGGACCAGTCCAGAGACTTTCTCTACCAGCTGCTCGGGATTCAGCTGGTAGCTAAGGTACTCTGTCAACAGCCCCTGCAGCATGCAGGCCAGGTGCCCTTCCTCCTGTAAGGTTTAGGCTCTGGACCGTTCTGAGAACGTGACACGGGTCCTTGTACACAAACCCAAAGGGTCCAAGTTATAGGACTTAAAGGATCATGGGACTTAGTAAGTAGGGTTATAATTAAGGTAACTATACTTATAACCCCCAATTAAGGGACTTATAACCTTACTTACTAAGTCCCATGATCCTCCAAGTAGGGTATATACTTTTGAGGCCCAAATACCTACAAAGTAGCTGCCATATTACTGCGGATCCCTAAACCCTAAACCCTAAACCCTAAACCCTAAACCCCTAAACCCTAAACCCTAGGGTTCCTTTGGGAAACTCCAAGTTCGGACAGTTCTCCCGCATCATTCCGTGGGGCCTTCATGACCCCGGGGCACCTGTCAACCTTACACTTGAGAGCTTCAGAAACTTAGGGTTTAGGGTTTAGGGTTTAGGGTTTAGGGTTTAGGGTTTAGGGTTTAGGGTTTTAGGGTTTAGGGTTTAGGGTTTAGGGTTTAGGGTTTAGGGTCTACCCATAGGCCCTGAAGTAGTTCCTTTTTGGGGTTCATACATAGAATCCTATAAGGTAGTCCCAGAAAGGATGGGTAAGGACCTTTTTGTAGAAACCTAGGCAGTGGCATCATTATAGTAAGCACCCCACATAAGGAACGATCATGGCCTATATGTTCAATATTCTTCGATATCGTCCTTTTACAGTTCCAATACCACTGCAGGATGCCACGATGATAAATCCCCAAACCCGATTCCAATGATGCAGGCCCCGGTCAGATGGGAAGACCGTCTACCGATCTCCAAATCCAGGACATGAGGATTACTCGCAGAAAACCTACTTGAAGGTAAACCACCATTAATACCAAAAAACTGAGCTGGTGCTCTTCACAAGCCTCTCAGCAACCAGCTGGAATCCTGTAAAAGGCTTACGTGTACATCCTTTTTGGCAGCCACTATAGATCCAAAGGCCAAAACTCTACACCCAATATACATGCCTTATAGGACCCCTACAATGAGCCCTACACCCAGCCCTTGATAGCAACGATTGCACCTTCGATCTCGGGAGACAGCCGAGCACCTGCTCGGCCGTGTTCTGAACATGCGACGGAACACGAATCATACTTAGTAAGAATAGTAACAAATAACGATATGGTAATTAGACTAATGTAAAAAGCAAAAAATAGTTAAAGTTCAAGAAATATAGACCAATAATAACACGGTGTGTGTGTGTGTGTGTGTGCATGTATGTATGTATGTATGTATGCATGCATGCATGCATGCATGTTATGTATGCATGCATGGATGCATGCATGTATACATACACTCACACACACATATATATAATATAGATACATATATACATACATATTCACATTGACTTATCCACGTATGTAAACTGTAGTCAAGTTCAAGCAAACAACCTATAGTATATACAAGCCAGCATATACCATGTGGAACATACTCTAAACCCTAAACCCCTAGACCCCTAAACCCCTAAACCCTAAACCCCTAAACCCTAAGCCCTAAACCCCTAAACCCTAAACCCTAAACCCAAAGCCCTGAACCCTACACCCAAAGTAGGTTGCCCTGTGCGACTCCTAGGGCTCTGTGCTTCAATAGGGCTTAAAGCTTACTGGGCTTGTAGAGTCCTTTGAAATCCACAGAAGTTTGGGGTGTAGGGTTTAGGGTTTACGGGTTTAGGGTTTAGGGTTTCTGGAATGCGAAACTACGAACAGGTAGGTTATGGTTATTTGAAGTAAACTCCAGAACTCTCCTCCTCTTCGAAGTTCAGCAGGAAACTAGTTCTCTGGACAGCGCCACAGAAAGAGAGCAGAGCTCCAAGATAGCAGAACCCAAAGCAAAGCTGCCCTGACACGGGTTGCTTTCAGGTTTTTCCTGGGTTCGAGCCATGCAGGGCTTTAGGGGCTTAAGGGATTGAGCTCGAGAACAATTTGAAAGTGAAAGACTTCGTCGGTTCTGGTGCAGTAGCTCTAGGGTCCAAAAGGTTCATGTTTTTTGTTTCAAGGGTTTGGCTGTACAGACTCTGGGGCTCAGTGGTGCTTGCTAGCTTATCAGGCTGCCTAGGGATGATGGTGGAGCATGAGGTCAAGAAACCCAAGAGACTCAAGAGTATGTTTAAGGGTTGGAGTGTACTTGCAAAGGAAGGCTCGTAGCAAGGCGCCGAAAGCCAAAGCTACACAGGCACGCAATCAAAGGAGTCATCCTGGTGCTTGGTTTAGGGTTTAGGCTTTAGGATTTAGGGTTAGGGTTTAGGGTTTAGGGTTTAGGGTTTAGGGTTCAGGGTTTAGGGTAGAAACAGAGTGTAGCTTGCTCGCTATTCTTCTTATGGTATCCTAACATAAATTCACAAACCCCGCCAACAACCCCACAAAAGCACAGCTGTATAGGGAAAGCAGAGGCCTTAACACGAATCCTGCTTCTGCAATCTCTAAGCCGCAGGCAAGCATCCTCTAATTGAGAGGAGAACGTGGACAGCGCCTAGCGCAGGAGCTTTAGAATGTCGGAACTGAGATTGCATCGGCCACCGTCATACAAGGCCTATATGCCAGGAACAGGGTTTTGTAGTGCTTCGATGCTGCATCGTACAATTAAGGAGCCCTAAGCAATAGTATCCGTCACTATCAAGCCCCGTATATGAACCAGTCAGTCCACTCCACGAACCATCATTACGAGACCTGCCAAGCCCCAGAAGCTTCATGATCCCCTGACGACCTCGGATGCCTTTATGCTTCAGGGTGGGATTCCCAGACCCCCAAAAGCATCTAAAAAATAGATCCCCTAATTAGGGACCCTAACTACTAAAGGGTACTTTATAGGAACCCCCTTAGGGGATCTATTTTTTAGATCCTTTCGGGGGTCTGGGTTCGGACTACTCCAGCTGTACCATCAAAGTTGCTTCTCTATATCGTTCCTTGGTCATCAGCCTGCCTCGAAAGTCCGTGACAGGTGGCACAAGAACTTGTCTAGATATCTATATATACAGACATGTTGTGTAAGTACTCTAAATTGCAAAAGACCCTGTCAAATCCAGGCCCGAATAAAAGTATATTCAAATGATCAACACCGCACAACAGCGCCGCGCTGACAGCTACAGCACCTATAGTTTCCATGGCAGTTCCTTTTTGGGGTCACCTTATAAAGTATCCCAAATATTAAGATGGCTAGACCAAAACAGAGGAACTACAATGGAGACTAAACACTAAACCCACCTCCCATTGCCCAAAAACCTCGGCGCAGCACATGCACCCAACGAGAGACTTCAGGCTAAGGGCTTATCCGAACTCTAAACAACCTACCTTTAAGTTTTCTTATGGCTTCCTTATAGACATATCATTATGCGAAATGCGAAACTAGGCTTCTTCTTTTGGGGTAGGGTAGGGTCAGGTTCGACATCTTAAACTAAATATACCGGCTATGGCGCAAACAACACACATCACAATACTTGAGCTAAAGTAGCACCTGTTGGCCGACCTGCTGGAAAAAGGTGCCAAAACAGCGCACTGCCAGCCCAAACCCTAAACCCTAAACCCTAAACCCTAAACCCTAAACCCTAAACCCTAAACCCTAAACCCTAAACCAAACTAATATCCTAAAGTCCTTAGACTCCCGATAGTTCGAGGCATTCTTAAGATATTCCGAACCAATTAGATATTCACCCCCTAACCCTAAATCCTAAACCCTAAACCCTTATCCTAAACCCGAAACCCTAAACCCTAAACCCTAAACCCTAGACCCTAAACCCTCAGGAGCGCGGCAGCAGTCCTCGCCGGCACTTTGGCGACCGGTCTCCGCTGCATCGGCAGCCACCTGTGGGATCGTGGCTTGGCTTCTCGGGGTTTCTTCGGGCTTTTACGGTTTAAGGGCGTTTCTGGGTTTCTGAGGGTTTAGGGTTTAGGATTAAAAGGGTTGAGGGTTTAGGGTTTAAGGGCGTTTCTGGGTTTCTGAGCATTTGTAAGGGGGTTATATCTACCCAGAGGTTCAAGGACTCTGGCTTCCAAACTCTTTGGAGTATTTTCCTATGGAACTATGGAAACCTACTGTTTGGATGCGTGGACCGTCTGGGCATACTAAGATGTTGAAGGTTCCAGTGTCTCGGGTTGAATTTGAAGTTTAGGCTTCAGAAAAGCTTTTGGATTCCTGAACACGGTTTATGCCAAGAGCCAAACAAGTACAGCAAGCGATAAACCCCGAATCCTAAACTTACGATTGCCGTGCTATTATTGGAGACATTAAACTAAATTTATACTTCCACTAACTTGGTAGCAACATGATTAGACTGCCGGGTTACAAAACGGACCTAACCCCAAACCCTAAACCCTAACTATCATGAGGCGGCACCCAAAAGTCGAGCGTATATTCTTCACATTGTGCGAAAGGGCACGAGCATTCGGCGAAGTATCGTTCTTGTCATCATCTGACGGTGATGTCATGTGGCTCAGTGTATTGTTTCTTGCTTCTTTCGTTGGTTGCAAAAGCACGGTTTTCGATATCGCGGATGCTATAAACCCTAAACCCTAAACCCCGAACCCTAAACTCTAATCCCTGAACCCTAAACCCACTATTGTTGACGGTGTTGTCGGTTTTGGGGATTTCGCGGCTATTTCTTTCCGTTGTCATGCCGTCACAGTGCACCCTAGACAAGTTAAACGTGCTGTTACAAAAATTACAGACATCCTGAGAAATCCTAAATCCTAAATTTTAAACCCTAAACCTTACTGTAGAAATCCTGAACCCTGAGCCTGAACGCCTTAACCCCAAGATCCCGAACCCCGCAACATCGAGCTAAGAACCAAAGGCTACCTGAAAGGATCCCGCAACATCATCATGAGCACTAGAGCAAGGGCTAGGGCCCAAGTTGAACCTGAAGGGGTGTCTGCAGCCGAGGCGAGCAGACCCCCCTAAACCCCAAGGTTTAGGGTTTAGGGTTAACCCCTAAGCCCTTAAAGCGCAAGCTTGATTTCCCTCAAAAGGTAGGCAAACGAGTAAGATTGCCGAAGATACCTTTTGTTGAGGAACGGAGCAACAACAACAAAACAGTTAAACACCTGAAGGATGTCCAAGCGTCAAGCTAACCCTTCAACCACAACCCTAAAACAACCAAGCTTGTAGGCCCAAACCACGCAAAGTCAGGTTAAAGCTCTAGAAGTACAGGGCACAAAACCGAAAATACTTGTTATGGGGATCCACGGGAGCCACATGGGGGAATATAGTACCCTATTTAGTAGGATCCCTATTATAAGGACCCCAAAATAAGAACCCTTGTTTTCTGAAACTCCCACATGTAAACCCTCAGACCTTCCGCCCATGGAATCCCTCTCAAACCACTCTCAAGTCCTATATGGGAGTTTCCGAAAATTAGGGGTACTGTATTTGGGGTCCTTATAATAAGGATCCTACTATTTGGGGTATTATATTAGGGTCCCTATTTTCGGAAACCCCCCTGTAGAACTCGGAGGCCTAAACCCAAGGGTCCATGTGCCCAACAACTTCGGCCTTTGTATAGGGACTACTTTACCGCCAGAGTATCCACTGCATGAGTAAGTAAGGTAGGGGCCTTAGTGCTCAGAATTTTGTTTTGGGGGGGGGCTCGTGGGGGCTCCTGAATAGTATAATTTTCATAAGGAGCTCTACATGGTTAGTTATTCAGGGCCCCTCCATTTCCTGGGTTTAGGGCTTAGGGTTTCCCTAAACCCTAAACCCTAAACCGTATAGTAGGGTTCTATGATAGGATGCCCTTTAAAGGGTGCTATAGGGTTCTGTTTAAACGGCCCGGGCCCTTCGGGTTCCCCCTAAACCCTAAACCCCAACTAGAGCCTTGGCTGCCCTAAACCCGAAACCCGAAACGAGCCACGGTTCCGGGTTTTAGGGTTTAAGGGTTTAGGGTTTAGGGTTTAGGGATAAACCCCAACCCTAAACCCCTAAACCCCTACAGAGACCGAATCCCAGACCCTTCCCCTAAACCTAAACTACCCATAGGCCCCAAAGTAGTTCCGTTTTTGCGGTTCATATATAGAATCCTATAAGGTAAGGTAACCACTAAACCCTAAACCCGAAACCCTAAACCCCAAACCCAAAAAGGAACTACTATGGGGCGCCTAGGGGTAAAAACCCGAACTCGTGCCTTGGCTTGGCGTAAGCAGCCTCGCCAGGAATCTGCCTGGCACCGAAGGGTTTAGGGTTTAGGGTTTAGGGTTTAAGGTTTAGGGTTTAGGGTTTAGGGTTTAGGGTTTAGGGTTTAGGGTTTAGGGTTTAGGGTTTAGGGTTTCCACGGATGCTTCACCATCGGAAGAGGGGTCTAACATAGGGGCCTAAAAAGTTGCCTAGATGATTATGGGGGTTCCTTATTGTAGTTATTGTATACTATACACCAAAACCCTATTAATAGGGGACTCCAAAGGACACAGTCGGAAGAGCGGTCTAGTATAGGAGGTGGGATTAGGATTTAGGGTTTAGGGTTTAGGGTTCAGGGTCTAGTATAGGAAGTGGAATTCAAGGGGGACCCTGGGGGATATCTAAACCTTTTCAGTAAGGTCCCCTTTAAAGAGGGCCAGAAGTAAGCTTAAGAAGGGTCCCCCATTTAAGGGGTCTCCCTAACAATACTGCCTAGGATAGATAGTATCGTTAGAGTAGGGGGCTCCAAAGGAAAAGTATGCGTTTTTCTTCTTATGGCACGGTATAGCTCGAAGGGTCCTACGAGGGTTGAGTCGAGCTTAGGCTGGGCCCTATAGAACTATGCCTACGTACAAAGGTTCCATCTACTTTCAGGAATACATTCATTCCTAAAGTAGAGGATGTTTGAGAATCCCCTAAACCCCTAAACCCTCTGTGTGCATGTACTGCCCTGCACCTGCCTGCATCCCAAGCATCGACGCGCCTGGTGCAGGGTCACGGCTTATTCGGGTTTGTGCAGGGTTTCATGGGCTTGTACAGCGGGCATAACTGGAAAATGTTCTGTAAGACTTCGGTACGCATTCTGCAAGGCTTTTATCATATACCTGCAACCCTAAGCCCTTCAGGTGTTCTTAATTAAAAATTTGTTTAATTAAAAACCTTGTGGAAGCGTCTGTTTTTTAATTAAAAACTAACAAAACAAGTCAGGTGTTCTTGACATGAAAACATCGTCGTTGAAGTTGGGGCTTCACGCTTAGGGCTTGGGGTACAGCGCTGGTGCTTGGTAGGTTTGGTGAAAGGACGCACCGTGGTTGACATAGGGACATTCATAATTCGATCAGGGTTTTGGTGTAGATGAATCGCAGTATGGAGCCCTGTGGGGAATAAGACTTGTTCTTCCTATTTGCAGTTCTCAACTGCTTATACCGGTGCCGTACTATTTTTGGGACGGAAAGGGGCCCTAATGCAGAGAACTACCCCGATATTAGCAGCAGGCTCGGACCGGCGGAGGGGTGTCGCTAAGTACCCGGCTGTCGTATGCCCGGTTGAGGGACTCCTCCAGCATGGACACCTGGGTTTGGGGCTTTCGGTTTGGAACTGCTGCCTTCATCGTTTTGGGGCTTCACGTCTTAGGGTTAGGTTTAGGGCTTCAGGATTTAGGGTGTTTAGGGGTTTAGGGGTTTAGGGGTTTAGGTTTAGAGCTTCAGGGTTTCAGAGTCCTACAGCTGATCATGACTACAGACTTGCCGCACCTTTGAGAACAAACCAGGCTTGTCGACTCTTGAAGCAACATGGCTAGGGCCCTGTACCCTATGTAGTCCTTCGGAAACGACCATACCCTAAGCGCCACACTCCCTAAAGCCCCTAATCGGAACTCGCTAATAGAACCCTTACAGATCTTTACCTGAAACCAAGCTGAGCCCGAAACTCTTAAACCACAAACCCTCAACCCTGAACTAAACCTGAAACCAACCTAGACCCTCAACGCTAAACCCCAGGGTCATGGCCAACTCATGGCGTCGGAGAGCTTCTTCGGCACCTGATGGGATCACTTGCTGGCCTAAGGGCCCTAAAGACCCCAGATTCAGGAACTCTACCCTAAACCCTAAACCC